AGTACCTATATATGTAATATCAAAGCAATCGGACCTGCGGTTTTTAACAAGAAGTCGAAAATATCACTTTTTACCAAAAATGACAAAAATATTCACCAAAATTAGAGAATTGAAGATATCATCACAAAATGAACAAATCTGAGAGAGGTCCACATGTAGTACCTATATATGTAATATCAAAGCAATCGGACCTGCGGTTTTTAACAAGAAGTCGAAAATATCACTTTTTACCAAAAATGACAAAAATATTCACCAAAATTAGAGAATTGAAGATATCATCACGAAATGAACAAATCTGAGAGAGGTCCACATGTAGTACCTATATATGTAGTATCAAATCAATTGGACTTGTGGTGCGGTTTTTAACAAGAAGTCGAAAATATCACTTATTACCAAAAATGACAAAAATATTCACCAAAATTAGAGAATTGAAGATATCAACATGAAATGAACAAACCTAAGAGAGGTCTACCCAAGGTACATATACACCAAGTATCAAAGCATTAAGGCTTGTAGTTTTCAAGAAGAAGTCGAAAAAGTAAAACATTGACACGAACGACGACGACGGACAATCACTCATATGATAAGCTCCGCTCGACAAAGTCGACAGCGGAGCTAAAAATTAATGATTTTCATCCATCAAAATGGCTGCCAGGAGACAATCTTGAATTGGATTGTGATGGATGTGCTAGAACACAATCAGCTATGAACCAAGTTTGGATGTAATTGGACAGTATGAATTTGAATGCTTATAAGCACAACAGTAAGCATAATTGTGTCAAAACAAAATGGCTGCTGGTCAGCCATATTGCATAGAAATCTGACAAAAATCAACTTCAACCGTCATAGTTATTGCATTAACCAAGGGGCAAAGTCTGATTTACAATAGTCAAATTCAAGCTACACACTGCATAAATACAAGTGTTAATACCGTACTTCCCCAACCATAAGCCCAGGGGCCTGAACATGCAAAATCAGGAAAATTCGGGGGTGGGCTATACTCGAGGACCACCTCAGAAAAGATCATTTTTTAGGAGGTTTAAAATTGTATTCATCTTCCCACCCACGAAAAATTATCCAAATTACAATGTTCGTTCACAGCACCAGAGAAATATCAGAGAAATATTATGTCTTTTGAAGGAAAAAATGCGAAACAAGCCATCATTGATTTCCACAACACTTTTTACAATGAAGAAACAAACATGTTCATAAAAATACACACATTTTATTACAATACGGTTCACATACTGTCTGAAATTACGGTGCAAAATGGGTAGAGTCTATGGGAAACTGAAGGCAAGATCTTTATCATTATCTTCATTGTGGAATGTTTTCGATCATACGCAAACTCTCGATACAAAGTAATTTCGGCCATGGAGTTTTTCATCATGATTTGACCTGAACAACTTCCTTCTGCCTAACAGGTCACGTCTTTTGTTAACCAATAAAAATGCTGTGTAATTTTTTTAACGCGATGCGGAAGTGAATTACCACGGTGTTACAATGCGATCTGTTAACACTGATTTCGACAACAAAATTATTTCTTTTTCTCTAAAAACTGTTGATTCGAAATTTTCGAAAGGTAAACTAAGGGTGAGGGAAGTATTTAAACCTTTAATGGTTGCCAAAAAGTTATGACGAAGAATAGTTTGCTCGTTCACACCCCATTCAATGGACACGATTATTCAGAAAAATAAAACAATGTTAAATGACCAGGTTTCACGACTTGACGATCACATTTTTGGTGTTTCGAAAACTACTACTCAAACAAAATATGGATTACTTCAGTATTGCAGCATCGGGGTTCATCCTAATTAAATAACAGAATAGGAAAGGTGCTAACCATGTTTCGTATGTTTGCCTGCCATGCACTCTGAAATTAATGCGAGTTTTCTCGTAAAAGCAGGAACCAAACTACCGTACCAATCACGATTATTATGCACAGAAATACACTTTTTACATGCATATTTTAATAAATGTCATCAACGCTCAGTAAAACACCCTGGGCCTATACTCAGGGATGACCTCAACTCGTTAAATGTCTAAAAACAGAGGGGTGGGCTTATACTCAGGGAAGTATGGTACATGAATAATTAGAACAATAGTACACAAGACCTTGAGCATTATTAATTTGCCACCAAATACCTTTGCCATTTATAACTTCTAAACATGGCAAAAGATCATCAAATAATATAGTTAATTATAATTTTTATAAATTTAATTAATTTTTTGAAAGCAAGGTATACCCTGCGACTCTCAATCTTGAACTGAAGTAAAAAAAAAATTAGAAATGAATTTGAAATGATTCATCTCTTTCAATATGAAAACTATTAAAAGCATGCAATTACTTACATATTTAAAAGTGTGACACTAAGTAACCAACCAGCTTCTAAGTCAGGAAAAGCAAATACTGATGGATTGTTATGAAATTTATAATGGTGTATGATGGTTGGTTCCTGGTCCCGTAACTCTTTGCCAAGAAACCATGGCTAAAAATAGAGACATAAATTTTTTCGGTCACTGAATTTGTGGACAAAGGATCAGCAAAACTACGAGCACATATTTACTGGTACTGAGCGCATGTATATTGAATTTCACTGGGGGAATGTGAATCTAACACATATGATCTAGTATGTAACAAATATAATTTTCGGTTTATTTGCGCTTCTGTATTGGAGAAGAGTTTTTTAATAGCGCGAACACAGTAATTTTCCAGAGGCTGAATTCAGATAAATCTCTGAGTCCTGATGATAATAGATATGTGGTTAGCCACAGAACCAAATAGTTGTCATCACAAACAAAGAGTTAAGCAGGCATAGTCAGCTGAAGTATTCACAAAGTGATTTTGGAAATAGTTCGTTGAGAGTGCTTTTATAATTTAGATTCTATAATTCCATGTGACCACATATTGACCAATCACAAGACATAATCAGCATGTGGCATGTTATCGTACAGAGAGAAATGATGCAACTTTTTTGATAAGGTACAAGGTTTTCTGGAATACATGGTAGGTATGATTAATAATAATGATATAAAAAAAACAAATTACGGTTATATTTACATCATTAGGATCATATTTTGTGAGTACATTAAGTAAACCAGGTAACTTGACTCTGGTTTCTTCTTCACAGAAAAATATCCATTTGTATTTGGATTTACCAAAATCATCCTCGAGTCTGCAAAACAAGAGTAACAAAACATAAAGAAACCAACCTAGACTTGTCCTCATAGTTGTACATTTGTATTTACAATAATTTAAACTCAAACATTACATCATGAACAACCCACAACATGTCAAAACAATAGCTCAATTTAGATTGAGTTGCCATAAACTTGCCATCGAAAAAGGTCGTTATACAAAACCCAAAACACCAGTGGAAGACAGGTTATGCTCCCATTGTAACGAAGTTGAAAATGAGGAACATCATTTAATACATTGTAAATTGTACACAAAACAAAGAGACACAATGTTTCGCACTATCAACAGTGTAAATGCAAATTTCCTGAGTTTGGATAAAGAAAAACAATTTAAACATATTTTACAATCAAAAGATAAAGATACTATTATAGCCCTCTATGTGTACTTGAGTAACAGTAAATGAACAAACAAAAGAATACACTCAGTCACACTTATTTAACTTTTTATTTGCTCAACTTTCGCCTACTTACTTTTTTTAGTTATTCATTATTAACTTTATTACATTTTAAACACCAAATTAGAAATGTAAAATTTTCTACACGGTTGTAATAAAGCTGTTATCTATCTATCTATCTATCATGATCATGAAAACCATAACAATATTTACTACAATGTATACTTTATAAGTACCGGTACTGTTTTTTCTGTTCATGATTTATAGTGTTGCTGTGCATAATATTGTGAAAGTTGCTGTGGCTTTGCAAATTCAGGACTCCATTAAAACCCTGATCACCCAAATTTGTTATTTATGTGAATATGTTCTGAGTTCATAAATAAATACATTGATATATGGGGTCTTTGGGTTTTTTCATATGGTGGCTTCTGTGCATGCACCAACCAAGCGCCTGTTTATGAAATAAATTATTGTCAGCAGTCCCTGACTGCCCAACCTTATTCTCTGTCTATCGCTTCTTTGACTTAGCCTAGTTTTGACAGTTCATTTAAGTTATGTATTTAAGTTTAATACAGTTTTAAATGTGTCATCTTTTATACGTAACCTTTAGTGGCAGATTAAGCAATGTAATCTTTCCCCTCACTACCAGCTGTATAGCAACCAGCTTGTTTATTGGTATAGACAATTTCAAGCCAATGCCAAGGCAGGAAAAGATTACCGGCGCCAATGCTTGATTGTTTTTAAGCTCAACGTGTGATTATCTTAGCTAGCGTGGCTAACACCTTAACACTATATATTGCAGCATTACATGCTATGTTCACACGGCAGCATTCTATCGGAGCCGAACCACTCCTCCCACTGATTAACAGGAGATTATCTCCAATGCGTTCACACGGTCGGGAGCCGAACAAGAGCCGAGATCTGCCAGAGTTCAATTCAGTTCGATTAGAGCCAAACGGAAAAACTGTACTGAAATCGATTTTGGTGTCGTGTTTGTGTTGTTTCTTTACATGGCGCGTTGCTGATGGGCTGGGAGAAAAAAAAAGTTGTGAGTCTGAGCATGGAGGTAGAAAAGACAATGCACTAGTGTTATTATTTAGGTACATGTAGTAGTACCTCGAATAAATAGCAAACACGGCAGCTAAAATGTGTTACAACCTATTATTTACTGTCATGCAAAATTACCATTTTGTAATTATTCAATTGTTAGTGATATCTAAACTACTAGTATTATGAAGAATCACAGTCCCTCTATCTTCTCTCTATATCATAGAGGGACTGCGGAAGAATCTGAACCTACTAGATTGCTTCTAAGATTTTCTCTTTGCTGTCTTTAAAAAGTTTCCGTTCAGTCGTTCTTTCAAGTTTTTGTTGCATAATGTCGTACGCCATTTTCCCCGTTTCCCGTTGAGCTATCAATCTATCGCAGTGGCAGTAATTATTTGCTCTGCCAAGTGTATATTAGGGCCCATACCTCTTCTTCAAGCCGGAAATTGCGTGAAATTACGAAATATGTTGTCTCCGCCATAATTGAAATGATAGGTTACTTGAAGAAGACGATTCAGGGCGTGATTTCAGCTCCGATAGTTAGGCCCTGATGCGTTTACACGATCAGAGCCATGTCGGGACTCAACCCTATCGGAGTTCAACCTCAAGGGTTTAGTGGAGCCAAACTTGGCTTGAGCCGAACGCGTTCACACGGCCATTTTTGTTGGCTCGAGCCATAGGGCTCTGATAAAATGCTGTTGTTTCCCTAACCCACCCTTCCTTTTGTTTATTTTTATGCTTGTAGTTTTTATAGATTTAGTTTGTAGTTACAGATTTTGAGCTTTGTAGTTTAGTTTTTTGAGGTACTTTATTACCTCACAGGAATGTATCCTTCCATATGGGGTTTTTCATATGGTGGCTTCTGCGCATGCGCCAACCAAGCGCCGGTTTATGAAATAAATTATCGTCAGCAGTGCCTGACTGCCCAACCTTATTTTCTGTATCGCTTCTTTGACTTAGCCTAGTTTTGACAGTTCATTTAAACATTGATTATGGACTAGTGTATATTTACGGGCCTGACGAGTAGGATATTTCACTTACTTTTTCAATAGTGGTTGTATTACCCATTGTCCAGTGTCTGGATATTTGTCACTTAATAGTATAACCTTAGGATTTTGCCATCCAAGTATCCTACATTGCTGCTCTATGTCACTTTGTACAAGTTTAGCTCTTTCTCGATGAAATGGATGGGGTTGACTACGAATAATAAATACAATTTCTTTCACTTTAACATTATATTTTCCCTGTTAAGAAAGAAGAAAACCATTATTTGTTATTAATAATAAAATTTTTTTGCACTCCTCAAATTACCACAGAATAGAATAGAATAGAATAGAATAGAATAGAATAGAATAGAATAGAATAGAATAGAATAGAATAGAATAGAATAGAATAGAATAGAATAGAATAGAATAGAATAGAATGCTTTATTACATCCTTAATGAAATCTGACATTTCAGTTTTGGTAATTGCTGTATTAATGCTTTTTAAAATAAACTACACATACAATACAATAATAGATTTCAAATAAACAACAACTAAATCACACTGAAAATATAGCACAACAATACATTAATTAATTTTTACCTTTTCTTTCTTATTTTGTAGGCTTTCTGTATGTAATTTAATAACCCGAGTAGACATTGTTTGTTAGTTGTGTATAAATTTATCTTTGTTGTTGTAATTTTTGAAATTTGGATTGGAGAATTGACAATATAAATCTTGTCTATTTTCTGTATAGAGATCACACTCAGTGATGACATGGATTTCATTAATATGAAGAACCGGTACTGGTAAGAAAATACCAATAAGTCCAAGTAACAATAAATAGAGTTTGTCGTCAATTAGTTTTCTTCAGTTAATGCACATTTTTTTATCATTTTAATTTTAAAATTGACAAAAAGTCGGTTTTAATTTTCAAATAAAAATTATTTTTTTCTGAAAAAAAAATTTTTTTTTTTTATAGGTTTGCCTAAAATTGGGACCATTTTCACTTTACAAATTTCACAATATGTTTTTAGGTAATTTAATGTCTAATTATAGTTTCCATGGTTGCAATTACAGCTACCAAATAGGACACGTTGAAAAATAATGTACATCTCATTTGTCACGGCTGGAACTAGACGAACTAATATGATTTTCCCAATATAAATAAAGCATCATTACATTCATAGTTTAAATTTTCAAAATTTTTTCTGTTACATTTATTGACAAATTTTGTCCGCAGAGCTCTGATTACCGGGCAGCATTTCATTAAAACTTCAGGTGAATGAAATTCAACAAGTTTGAGAGAACAGCCATGCATCGTCACATAACTATACAGTAGAACAGCGATGCAATTCATGTATCATAGAAGCAATCTCCATAAGCCTGAGCGAACATTTTTTAATATACCGGTAACAAAATAGCGAATCAATATTTTTAGCATATCAATATCTATATAGTAATAATTGAACAGATTTGCATACTTTATGCAGGGCCAGAAATACTGTAAATATCTTTTTTGTGTGAGAAATTATTTGCAGTACTTTGGGCCATGAACAAAATTCACTAGTTACAGTGTTCAATAGTTATTTTTAACTGTAATATACTGTTACTTTGAATCTTTGCTTCAAATGCAAGATAAACACAACTTGTTGAGAAAATAAGTGATGATTTGCTTGGACGCAGTGGGAACTGAAATAAAAGCTAGGAATGTAATAGTTGTACAGGAAACAAAAAATCTGACATACATTACAAACCAGACTAGATGAAAATTACTTTATGTTGAATGTTTCAGTTATCTACAGATCATCAATCTGTAGTGTATTGAAACACTTAGAATGGTTTAAAATAAAAAAAATCAGATCATGTGTGTGATTCAGTAATTTAAAGTGCTAAAACCAAAAAATGCGCAGTAATATGCAAATACAGTAACTATTAATTTGTATGTTGTACAATAACACAAATGGTTATGTAAAATTAAAAGCAGGACTAGCAAATACATTCCTAGTAATAGAGGGGATGATCTGAGTCCACTATATAATCTATACCAGTATATGTGAACGATATCAAAGGCCATATTGAAGCATCAAAAAATGATCAACAATTCTATGCGAACTAATTCTGATTCCTGTGGATTTATATGCAGATGACATTTAACTATTTTCCAGATCTTCAAAATGATATAAATTCTGTTGAAAATTACTGCAAACTGTGGAAGCTGGATATAAATGTAAACAAAACGGGGAAAATATAAATTTGAATTAAAACCAAGAACTAGAAAACATTAAATCCTATATCTATTTAGATTTGAAAATAAACACAACTGGCAAATAAAATAGAGCTCAAGACGATTTTGGTCACAGAGATATTAAACTTTAATTAAAGCATTTTTTTCAAATTAAACTTCTTTTCTCAGAAAATATTATTTCAATTAAAACCAATCCCAAACTGTTTGATACTATTGTTAAACCAATTGTAATATATTGTCGTGAAATTTGTACTGGTTAATGTTTCCTATGTATTAGCAAAAAAATAACCCAGATTTTAAATAGCAAACCTCAATGTTTTCAAACTTCGCAGACGGCGTCGGTACATTGTCATTGTATTGAGGAAAAATTCACAAACCTGAATATCTGTCGATGCCCGAGCTATAAAACCTGTAAAATAAAGAAAAACGTATCAAGTGTGACACCCATATACAAAAATATCGCAACAGATACAAGTGAAAAACTTGAAGTTTTACCTAACAACAAGGAAGTGAGCAGAACACATTTCAGATTCACCGCCATGTTTGCTTCAAAGCACAGCTTTTAATTTTATGTAAAGCTTATCCTAATTGGTCCAGACTTATAATACTTTTGATCACAGCCAATCATTTTGCTTCTTATAAATTACTTTTGCACATTAACAGTTGTGCGCATGTGCAACATTCCGGGCAACAATTATGGCTGCTGCTCCTGGTTTGCCGAAGTGGTTACTTGATTGTAAAAGCCAAATCACAGAGTCCCCGGTATGTATAAATAATCCCTTGTCGTAAAAGTGTCCCCTGCTATCCGACGTATCTAGGAAATTGTTTTATGTGTGAAATTCTTTCCTAAAATCATGCAATCATGAAAACAAGTTTTGTTTACATCTGTATTCTTGGATCGCTAAGTGGTTCCCATTTAAAAGCTGGGGGTGGACAGGGGTTCTAATTCAAACACTGGGGTGCACAGGGGTTTCCATTTAAAAACTGTGGGTGGGCTGAAGTATTAAGAAAATAGAACAAATTGTTGTAGGTAATATTCTTGATGTCAATTTTTCCCCAATTATTTTACTTCACCCCGAGAATTTTTAAATTTTATTTTTTATTATTACCGATATTATTATTTTTGCATGCAGTTTCATGTGATCCACAGTCAGCTGGCGCACAAGTGATAATAAAATAACATAGAATCAATTGAATGATTCGCTAGCCACATATAATATTTCTTTTTTTTTTGAAACTCTGGCCAATCGTGTGTACTTGTGTATACAGCATACACTGTACACCTGCAGTGCACACATTTAGCAAGGCATCTGATTCCAAAGGAAATAACAAAAATTCCTTTGAAATCGTCTGTATTTATCCCACAGAACATATAGATTGTGAAACCATATAAATTGATGATTAAAAGGTTGATGGGTATTATTTGACAACCCTGTAATATCGCCCAATTTTACTTCGTAGCTCTTCAAAATACCACTCATGCAATACCTTTTTATTTTTAGCATTACCTGGTATATATAGTGGAAAGTTCTCTCCCATAATGCATTGCTTAAATGCAGCGTGAAGGGTCTTTAAAGATGTCACATATTAATATTTGTCGATGATTCTATTTTAGCATCTTGTTTGATATGTTGTATCATGAGAAAGACCTTATGTATTTTTTTTCAGGAATGGGGGTCTTTGACAAGAGAGTTGTTTGATGCCATACAGCAGCAACTAACAGAAAGTAAAATTACTTACTTTACTGACCTCTCAGAAGCTGAGAAGACATTATTTATGCAAAGGGCAGCAAAAGCAATTCAACATGGTAGGAATTGCTTTTTATCTTCAAACATATACTTTATTCAACTGACTTGAAAAGGTTCAAACCTGTTTGTGTTTCTGTTCAATTTGCATGTAAAAACAATGAATAGTGGAGTATGAAAAACTAGAAAAACTTATCTTGTGTAAGATAACAGGCATTCTTTATTAAAGGGTGATTGATTTTATTTTGAAAAACAAATTTTGGTTTGTTAGCTGAACTTGTGGGTCGTAATTTTCGTCGCTAACATAGTATTAAATACTACAACGAATGCACATTTGCCTGCTTTTGCATATGAATAGACTAGAATGCCAGATTCCAAATCATTCAACAGAAATTTGCCACTCATATAAACATCTTTCCAAAAAACACTTTTGGAAAAATGGCCAAAGAATTAAAGCGAACCTAAATGCGGCCTTAATTTATAGTTGTGTATATTCTAAACTGTATTCGAAATAATATTGCAGTGGTTTAATTTTGTTTTAATTATAACTGTAGCTTGGATAGGCATTTGAAGTGCTTGCCATGGAGGCCATTTATGGAGGGGAATAATTAACGAACGAACATATTTAACATCCGGGTACTTTTCAAAGCTATGACGTTTTAGTATCTGATCGCATTCGTATACGCCATTGTACATAGCCGTTCATGCTGCCTAGCATTGTGTACTATTAGTATAAACACAGTCCCTCAAGGGACTGTGGTATAAACTCAACTTTTATATGCACAATGTGCTTTTTAAAACTTGGGTTAGAGCCTTATGCGTTTGAACCACAGTATTCTCAGAGTGAAAGCCCAATTGCGTTAAAGTACCGTACTTCCCCGATCGTAAGCCCCTCCCGAGTATGAAGCCCATCCCTATGTTTTTACTTGGTATTTATCGAGTTGAGGGCATTCACGATTATAAGCCCAGAGTGTTTTTACTGGGCGTCGACGATATTCTTTAAAATATGCGTGTAAAAGGTGTGTTTCATTTCATAATATTCATGATTGGCATGTTAGTTTGGTTCATGCTTTTAGTTTTATGAGAAAACTCGCATTAATTTCAAGTTCAGAGTGCATGGCGAACGTACACAACGTGATTCGCATCGTTTCTATTCTGTCATTTACTCAGGATGAACATCGATGTTGCAATTCTGGAGTAATCCATATTTCTTTGAGTAGTAGCCTTCGAAAAGCCAAAAATGTGATCGTCAAGGCGTGTACCCGGTTATTGGGCATGGTTTACTTTGAGACTATCATGAAAGGCCTAGGGTTTGAACGATGAGACATGTTGGCGACCGAGAAAGGTGTTTAAATTCTTCCTCCACACTCAGTTTACCCACGGTTACTATTAACCGTCGTTTATATTTCGGAAATTGCGAATCGCCAGTTTTTAGGGAAAAAAATCATCGTTTTTTCGTTGCAATCAGTGCTACAGATCGCATTTTAACATTGCGGTAATTCATTTCCGCATTGCGCTAAAAAATCATCGTCAATAATCGGAAAATTTCATCATTACGACACATCATTTTGATTGGTTAATGAAAGACATGACCTGTTATGTCAAAGGAAGTTGTTCCAGGTCAAATCGTGCTGAAAAATCTCATGGTGGAAAATTGTTTTGCGTCGAGTTTGCGTACGATCGAAAACATACCAAAACGAAGATAATGATAAATGCCTTCGTCCACTGTTTCCTCACAGACCCTACCCATTATTTCACCGTAAATTCAGACGGTATGTAAATCGTATTGTAAAAAAATGTGTGTGTTTTTTATGAACATGTTTGTTTCTTCATTGTAAGTATCGTTCAAATCAATGACGCATTTTTTTTCAAAAATAAGTATTATTTTCCCGAGCCCGGCGTGGTGAACGAATATTTTTTTTGGATAATTTTTCGTTATTTGCAAGATGGTTACAGTGTTTAACCCCAAAACAAAATCATTTTTTCTGAGTTGGTCCTCGAGTATAAGCTCATCCCTTACTTTTCCCTTATGTGTTCATGCCTCTGGGCTTATGATCAGGGAAGTACGGTATTACCGTATACTGTGAAGATTCAATTCAGTCCAGTGTGAGTGATGAGAGTATATCGTTGACGATGCCCCTTGTTCGGATGAAAGTTTTATTTCAAATTACACGGAAGTCTGTGAACAATCTGCTTGGTGTTCCTGTGACACTTGTCCCATGATTTGCCAGTGCAGCCCCGTGAATACATGGACGAAAATGTTTCCACCACCACCCTATGAACTCAAGATTGCATACTCCAGCATCCATACTTTAAATAATTTGCACGCCGCACAGTGCAGTACTGGAAACAGCATTTATTAGACAGTTAGACAAAAAACAAAACAAAATGCCTGTCTCGATCAATCGCACATCCATAATGTTTGTATGTTGATATGCTTGTAAATAACATTAACGTAAAAGTCGAAACAACCTAGACTAGAAGTCAATTCACCAGTCCAGCCAGCTATGGCTCCCCTGTGGCTTCCTAAGTTGCTTATATTTAATCAGATACTATTTCGTCATCATGCTTTGTTACCTTACCTGTTTATACCTCATGAGGGCGTTTTTTTATGGCAAGATGGCGCAAACGGAAGTCCTTCGCAGGTTTATGGTTTCTCATATTTAAATCATCATAACTCTGAAGATAATCATTTTTTTTAATTTTTTTTTTCAAATTTATAATCAATATACATAACTTGATAAATACAAACACCAAAATAGGCTCTATTTAGTTCCCCTTTAACCGCATTAATTGTTAAAATTGTGACCACCCTTCTGGCACTGGTTTGCTCAAATGCACAGGTGTATAAAGACCAAAATAATGGAAGGCAATTATGGTGTTTGGCCTAAGTCTCCATGATTGCATTTTCTATATAATCAAACCAAACAAGCATATTTTTATTTATTTCGCCATATTGAATATTTATTGACAAATTACTTCTCATATTTTAATTCATTAGTAATATACCGTTAATTCACCTCCATATAAAGACCACCTGTCCAAAAAGTAACTTGGCTGGTCACACTCTACACAGGTTTGAATGTATTACGCTTGTATCTTCTTTTATTGCAGGCAAAGCTTTTCGCAATGTTCAGACCAATGTTTCACACAGCTTGGACCAACATCTTAACAATCAAGTAGCTAAGGAACTTCTCGAGGACTTCCCTGTTATTACCAAATCTGATCTGATCATTAGTCATGCCAGAGATAGTGTGGTGGCAGTGTTAAAAAAATGGCCTGATATGAAGAGTAAATTGCACCTTTGTCTTAACCAGTCATTACCTGATAGACTCAGACAGATCACATGGAAACTGTTCCTACATAATCCACATTGTAAGTGATTTTAGAGCTTTTCAAATTGTACCTTGGTGTAAGTATACTTCACTGTAATATATATGTGTTGGTTGATCGTGGTACTTCTTTTGTCCTGACTACAGTATGCGGTATTCTTGTGATATCCATATTATAATTACCGGGGTAATCCGTTTCCTGTTTGTTGGCATACCACAATTGAGTTAGAGATGTCAGCGTGAAATGTTGTACAAGATTCAACTATGCGTGTTCGTGCGTTTACTTTCACTATCTGCTGTACAGTATATCAACAAGTGCTTTGAAATTAGACAACACATTTTGGATTAATATACATCTTTCTTCTAGAAGGAGTTGTTTTATTATTTTTGTTTCCATTAATATTCTGTTTTTGTAGATTAGTTTATTTTTTATTACTTCCTTATTAGTGTATTAATCCTGTATTCTTCATTGCCACTATCTTTGGGGAGTGAGTAAATAAATAAATAAATAAACAAACAAACAAACAAATAAATAAATAAATATTGTTGCTCCTTCCTATGTAAACAAAAAAAGTGTTCAAATGTGGTGTAAATAATTTGAAACACATTCAATGTTACCCATAATAAAATTCAATAATTGGAATTTAGTGCATCACAGACATTTCGTTACCAATATGCTGTAATACATGTACTACCTAGGTACTTAAATTTTTAGCAGGCTTACTCAAGCAGTACACAGTCACATCAGCCATTAATATGCATTGACTGTGTTCTGTCCTTGTATTCTGTATTCTCTGTGATATTATTGCAGGAACCTCAGAGTTAAAGTCAACATATTTGTTTGAATTCTTAACAGTAAGAAAACAGTATGTCGAAATATTGCAGACTGATCCAAACAATGTAATGTCTATATTGGACTTAGAGATTGTACAGAAATCAGAAGATCTACTCGAGAATGAAACAACATTCCATGAACTTTCCGGATCTGTTAGTAAGTGATGTTCAATTTCTGGGTTCTGTCATGTAGAATGGGTAAACCTACATATTTTTATTGGTAGACCACTTCTGGAACAGTCAGGCTTGAATTAAAAATTCACATAATCTCTCTAATTGCCCTCTTCTGATTTTTTTTTTAAATGGAACAAAATATAAGTAAGTGAAGCGAAAAAAATTTTTAATTTCTTTGTAAAATTCACAAAACTTAACAAATAAAATTGACAGTATGTACCATATTTATTTTATTACCAGTATTAGTACATGCACTTATGCAAATGACAGGCGTGTGTCTGTCTAAAAGTTACATTTCAATCATCTCGTCTGTAATTTTTTTGTGTATATGCACTTCTATAAGATCAAATGCGATAATCAGTTTACATTCCACACTAAATTATCAGATTTTTAATGAATGTAACTTATATTGTTATTTAACCTAGGTATATTGAACGCAATGAAATGTACCTTATCTTATCACCACGCCAGAAAGAGAGTCCAGACTAGTTTACATGATACAGATTACATGTTAGTTGTACCGTTCTTAGTGACGTCACTGGCGACTGTACATCCAGATCAACTCTCTCACAGAAATAGTATTGCTCTATTAATCGAAGAATATATCACATTTATGAAAATGAGACCAGGGTATATGAAAGAGTCATGGACTGAGGTAAGTTTTTTCCACTCATGAAATTTTGTCTCTTAATGATATCAACTTAAAATCTTATTATTGATTTTGGTACAAACCGCCCTCTTGGCTGAAAGTTTCAACTAACAGTGTTTATGACAACAATTCAAAAACTGCAAATAATAATAATAATTGTTTATTGCATCTTTAGAAATATACATTTCTTTCAGTATATAGCAATAGGAATATCAATCAATACAGAAAAATAAAATATAACAAGTTAGTAAAAAGAATTTTAAAGAGTAAATCAAATATAATAAGTTCAAATCACATGTTTTTTGTGCGTTGTTGGAATGCCATGAAGATAAATTGTGCAAAGTGCTTTATTGAGGTTTTGTCTGTTATTTTCATTATAAATTGAAATTTATTTTTATTTTTGCTTGTTTGATTGATTGCAAATGTCTCAATGACAAATTGTACCC